CCCCAAAACCCCAAAACCCCAAAACCCCAAAACCCCAAAACCCCAAAACCCCAGATATTATTTTCTAGGTTGAATCATGAACCTTTAAAGAATAGGAAGAAATTCTTAAAAATGGAAGCACAGCTAAAGATAGGCAATTCTTAGAATATAACTTTGATTACAAATCGGCTTCAAGCTTCTCCAAGATTTGGTTAGCACAATCTGGAACTCTGGTACCTGGCCCGAATACAAGGGCAGCCCCACTGTTGTAGAGGTGGTCATAATCATCATGTGGGATAACTCCTCCACAAATGACAAGGATATGATCTCCACCTAATTCAGCAAGCTTTTGCTTGAGTTGAGGGACTAAAGTATTGTGGCCAGCAGCCAAGCTACTGATTCCTACAACATGAACATCATTATCAATAGCTTGCCTTGCAACTTCTTCTGGAGTCTGGAAAAGTGCTCCTACATCAACATCAAATCCAAGATCTGCGAATCCGGATGCGATGACCTTGGCTCCTCTGTCGTGGCCATCCTGTCCAACCTTAGCAACAAGGATTCTTGGGTTTCTACCTTCATTCTCAGCGAAAGTCTTGACTCTGGTCATGGCTGCTTCAAATTCATTTTTACTTTCTTCACCAGAAATTTCAGTGGCAACTTTTTGGTAAGCACCTCTAACGATAGAGTCTTTAGGAACGTGTCTACCGTAGATTTTTTCAAGAGCATATGAGATCTCACCCAAAGTAGCTCTGGCCTTGGCTGCTTCGACAGAGAGCTCGAGAAGATTACCTTCTCCAGTTTCAGCAGCTCTAGTGAGGGCAGCTAAGGTCTCTTCTACCTTAGAGTTGTCTCTATCTTTCTTGATTTGGTTAATTCTGTGGACTTGCTGCTTTCTCACGGAAGCATTGTCGACCTTAAGAACTTCGATTGGGTCTTCCTTATCTTTCCTGTACTTGTTGACACCAACAATGGTTTCGAATCCTGAGTCGATCTTAGCTTGTCTTCTAGCAGCAGATTCCTCGATTCTATATTTAGGCATTCCTGATTCGATAGCTTTGGTCATTCCACCGAGTTCTTCAACTTCGTTGATGATCTCGAGGGCTTCATCAGCCAAGGTTTGGGTGAGGTTCTCCATCATGTAGGATCCAGCCCATGGATCTGCAACATGGGTGATACCAGTCTCTTCTTGCAGAATGAGCTGGGTGTTTCTGGCAATTCTTGCACTGAACTTACTTGGTAAGGCAATGGCCTCATCGAAGGAGTTTGTGTGAAGTGACTGAGTTCCACCAAATATAGCAGACATTGCTTCAACAGTAGTTCTCACAACATTATTGTAAGGATCTTGTTCAGTCAATGACCATCCTGATGTCTGGCAATGAGTCCTAAGAATGCATGATTTTGGATTCTTTGGGTTAAATTTTTCCTTCACTAATTTTGCCCACAAAAGTCTTGCAGCTCTTAATTTAGCGATCTCCATGTAGAAATTCATTCCCATGGCAAAGAAGAAGGAGAATCTTGGAGCAACCTGATCGACAGTGAGGCCTGCTTTCTCTGCAGCCCTGATATACTCTATACCGTCAGCAATAGTGAAAGCAAGCTCAAGTTTAGAATCAGCACCTGCTTCTTGCATATGGTAGCCACTAATAGAAATAGAGTTGAATCTCGGCATGTTCTTGGAAGTATACTCGAAGATATCTGAAATGATCTTCAATGAAGGAGTCGGTGGATAAATAAATGTATTTCTAACCATGAATTCCTTGAGAATGTCATTCTGAATTGTACCAGTTAAGTCCTTCAATTCAGCTCCTTGCTCTAATCCAGCAACAATGTACATAGCCATGATTGGAAGCACGCCACCGTTCATTGTCATCGATACTGAGATATTCTTGAGAGGAATCCCGTCAAAAAGGATCTTGGCATCCTCGACTGAGTCAATAGCGACTCCAGCCATTCCGACATCACCTTCTACTCTTGGGTGATCTGAGTCATATCCTCTGTGGGTAGGGAGGTCGAAGGCAACTGAGAGTCCTTGTTGTCCAGCCTTAAGATTTTCCTTATAGAATGCATTACTCTCTTCAACAGTACTGAATCCTGCATATTGCCTGACTGTCCATGGACGCCCAGTGTACATAGTAGCGTAAGGCCCTCTCTTATAAGGGTAAAATCCTGGCAATTCTTCCTCTGTAGGAGCCTTGACATCCTTGTGAGTGTAAAGTGGCTTGATCTTAATCTCTTCTTGAGTATCCTTGACTAGAGTCTCATGAACATCTTTGCCTCTAAGTTCTTTGGAGGCCTTGCCCATCCACTCCTTGTTCATATCCAATGATGAGAACCTGGCTGAGTTCCACATGGCTGGCTTAGCCAAGCTCTTGACGAATTTTCTAGATGATATCCTTCTTAAACTGAACATCTTTATAAATATTAATTTTTGATGAAATTCTATAAATCTATGAACCAGAGGGGTTTTGGGGTTTTGGGGTTTTGGGGTTTTGGGG